TTGGGGATGGTATCCCCAACAAGGGGACCATATCTTAGAGAATTAGAACAAAAACGGGGGCACTTACTTAGGAACCAGCAGTCGTAGGATCCCGAGCCGGCGCCCACGCACAAAAGAGCTCCCTAGAAAACTCTACCAAGCAAAGTGTTAGGTTGTGACCTCCGGCTCGTTTTAGCGCACTGAATCTGGCGGCAGATGATGCAGCTAGGATTGCTAAGCTGCGACGTTGTGGGAGACTGCTGCTGTCGCGACGGCTTGTGCCTCCTGTGTGGACTCCATTCGATGAGGAGGCGGTAGGCGTCCATGGCTTATACGGTTTTACACGGTTTCTAGAGGTTTCTAGGGTTTCTAGGGTTTATTAGGGCTTCTAGGATGTGTAGGCTGTAGAGGGCATGGGGTTATAGCAGCCTGAGGCAGCTGGTAAGGGTTTGAGAGTTAGGGTTTAGGGTTTAGGGTTTAGGGTTTAGGGTTTAGGGTTTAGGGTTTAGGGTTTAGGGTTTAGGGTTTAGGGTTTAGGGTTTAGGGTTTGAGAGTTTAAGGGTCAAGGGCCCAGGATCAGGAAGAAGACGCCAGGGCTTGGGCTGCATTCGACGGGTCCGCCACGTTGCAACCTCATCTAGCAGGCGGCTTTCTCAAAAGCGCCAAGTCCTTTCACAACTTGACGCCCGGTCAACCTCGAAGCGGGAAGCCCCAAACGCCGAAACCCCCAGCGCCCCAAGCCCGAACAGCCCCCAAACTACGAAGCCCCCAAACTACGAAGCCCTCAGGTATTCAATCTGGGACTCTATTTACCTACAGTTTAGGAGTAACTACCCCTTAATTAGTAGGTATAGACTGTAGGTAAAGAGAGTCCCAGGTAAACCTTAAGCCCAGAACCCGACATGATTTGGACTGTGGTGGCCTGGAAATTAAGGCGTCGGGTCTACGGGCTCGAGGGTTCATTAGGGTTTAGGGTTTAGGGTTTAGGGTTTAGGGCTTAGGGCTTAGGGTTTAGGGCTTGGGGTCCTTCCTCTATGTCCAGAGGCCCCGTAGCATCCTGTGAGCCCTTCAACCTCAACAGAGAGCCCAACACCCCTGGATCAGGGAATAGATGGTTTAGGGTTTAGGGCTTAGGGTTTAGGGTTTAGGGTTTAAGGTTTAGGGTGAGATCTTAAGCCATAACAGGGTCCTTGCTGTGAACTCAGGGTATATTCCCAGGGCCCTTATTGTGAACGACCGATGGTATATGGGAGTTTCCGACAAAGGGGCACCTTACTGGTCCTTCTGAAAACGGAATCCTACTAGATTAGCAGTCTAGATTAGGGGGTCCCTGTTTTCGTAAACTCTACGTAACCCCTAAACCCTAACCCCCTAAACCCGTACACGCCACCAATTCAGGAGCATCGGGCTCTCTGCATAGGTGCAACTGAGCTGAGGCGATGGCCAGGGCGGCCAACAGCCTCGCCGGTTGCAGCACGAAGCGTACCTGCATTTCGGAGCTTAGGAGGTTTAGGGTTTAGGGTTTAGGGTTTAGGGTTTAGGGTTTAGGGTTTAGGGTTTAGGGTTTAGGGTTTAGGGTTTAGGGGTTTAGGGTTTGAGTTTTGGGTTTTGGGTTTGGGGTTTAGGGTTTAGAAATCCTGAAAGCCCAAACCCTCAACCCTAAAGGATCCAAGTCCCTGTATTTTATATTCTAGGGCTTAAGAGTGAGTGCATAGGCAACGAAATACGCACAAAGCCATCAACCCGCTTTGGTGCTCAACAATTCCCTATATAGACTCTTATCGATCCATTCAACCCCGGACCCTGGGCTTTAGGGTGTAGGGTATGGGCTTCTGGGAGTAGTTGGGTTCGGGAAGGGTTGACCATCTGTGCGTGTTAGGCGCAGGGAAGACAGCGTTTGGGAGCAATCCCTGTGCTGCAGGAACGTGGCCCATGCAGCATATCGAAGAATCACATTCCAAACCCTAAACCCTAAACCCTGGCTCTTTGTAGGGAATGAGGAAATTAGGGAATTCGGGCCAAAACCCTCAACCCTAAACCCTTAACCCCAAACCCTAAACCCTAAACCCTAAACCCAAAACCCAAACCCTAAACCCTGTATATACCCTATTTAAGGGATTATGGGGTACCTCATCCCCTCATTCCCTCATTCCCGCCTAAGAACCAGCCAGCCTAAATCTATTTGGGCTCTGTAACGTCGATGATCTCCCAAAAGGAGCCCTGTGCCCTCCTTCCTTGGGTTTAGGGTTTAGGGTTTAGGGTGTAGGGTTTAGGGTTTAGGGTTTAGGGTTTAGGGTTTAGGGTGTAGGGTTTAGGGTGCAGGGTTTAGGGTTTAGGAAGATTTCGCCTCAAATCTCGGCAGCACATTGGGACTCTCGTCTTCCGAATCCCGAAATAGCAGCGTGACCCCCCCTTGTGCTACTTGAAATCTGACACTCAGCCCTACAATCCCTTAAAGGGTACATTTAGGGTTTAGGGGTTAGGGTCTCGAAATCTGACACTCAGGGGGGCAGCACCAGAAGTAGGGGAAGCTCTGCCTGACGCATTCGGGACAGAGTTCAGAGTTTGAAGGTTTCAGGGCATTCAGGCAGCAACATCCAAGTGTCTAACAGAAATAAGTACCAAAACCCTAAACCCTAAACCCTAAACCCTAAACCCTAAACCCTAAACCCTAAACCCTAATAAGAACCAAGGCTTGAACAGCTGTGAACAGCTCTGCTTGTTTCTTGTGCGTGCAATGATGCAGCCGTGCAGGTGAAGATGTTGATTCGCTCTTATTGAGGGTTTGGTTTCAAGGATTTAGGGTTTAGGGTTTAGGGTTTAGGGTTTAGGGTTCATCTGTGTCTCTCTGTGCGCATGCGTGCATGCATGTGTGTTGCCTTAGCGGGCTGGGGGGTTTCGGGCATGTAAAGCTGGTAAGATGTTTTAAGGACTCGGGTGAAGCCTGACACCTGAACCGATATCCCTAAACCCCACACCCTCAGATTCGTTGGCAGTTTGGGTGAACAAGATATCTTGCCTCTGGTTGCGTGGGCCTTCTTGGAAAGGGCCTTTCAGCAAACTTGGGCAGGAATTGGATAAACGTATATGCCTATTATTTATTTCACACGCAGATGTGGGCATTTCACAAAGTAGGGGTAACCCCTAGTATACCCCCAAACCAGAAAAATCCTTGTAAACAGAACTCCATGATCGGACTACTTCGAATACAGGCAACCCTCATGTGGGTTCTAAAAGTTAGGTTAGGGTTCACAAGAACGAACCATGCCTCGCAAATCTCACCCTGCCGGCCGAGATGTTCCAGGCCGTAGCAGGTGGAAACCTGACGGGATTAGGGTTTGTTTACGGGTTTAGGGTCTAGGGTTTAGGGTTTGGAACGGGGCACAATGGAGAGATGGAAAGGGCAATCCCTATGCTTCGTTGCATTTGGCTTAGTTGGGCCGGCTATGATTCAGATGGCACAACTTATGCTCCTCTAAATCATGTAGATACTAAGCTCCCTGACTGAATACCAACTCCCGCCACGTCACCCCAACGAGCGCTGAACATGCTCATGTTGGCTTGAGGCGTTAGGGCCGTTAGGGTTTAGGGCGCCCCTTTCGCGCTGAAAGGAGCCCAATGCCAAGACCTCATCCCAGGATGCCAAGTTACACTGATGCACTGCTGAGCAAACTGACATAACACCCTAAGGCCCTCAGGCCTACACTCCCCCCTCTCAAAGTCGGATTGTTGCGAGAAGTTGGTAGACGGGAGAGACTGAAGACTGAAAGGACAGGAGCCCATGGACGCAAGTTCAAAGTTAGGGCTTGCAGGGGTGCAGCCTTCATAGGTTTAGGGCTTTGAGGTTGCTTTAGGCTTTAACTCAAGGTGTAGTCGAGAGCCCGCGACTGAGCTCCCGACAACGGTCAAAACCGCCACAATCCTTGCTGCTCCAGCTTGCTCGAGGATTAGGTGTTGGTTTTCAAGCCGGCGGTGAAAGAAAACGCAGGTGGACATAGACTGAATGGTATACCGATCGCACAGTCTTTGCGAAGTCTGCTACTCCAGTCAGCTCCCTCAACCTGGTCTGAGCCTACAGCCCCCGAACCACAAAGGCCTTACGTGTATTGGAGCCCAACCCAAAACGCCAAGCAATAAGCCTTGAACCTACTGCGGGGTGACATAATGTGACGGCCTAGGTTTGCGGTAACAAAAACAAAGAATCTGGCCCCAACACCCACCTCAAGATGTAAACTCCTGAACTCCAAACCCTAAACGTTATCCCACGTGACCCTTGACCAGAGTGACCCTATCCCTTCTTGAGGTGTTACGACCATACACTAAACCCTGAACCCTAAACCCTAAACCCCTTCTAGGATCTTTTAGGGTTCATGTTGCCCCCCCAAGGAACTATAAACCCCACAGGCGTTCTGCAGCCAAAATGGCTGCAGAACTTTGCTAAGGCGTCCGCGCGTCAAATACGCACCAGCCGTTCGCAAAGAAGTCCCGGACCTTCTCAGGGTGAATAGGGTTTAGGGTCAGTTTGAGATTCTGGGTCATGGTGCGGGCCACAAGCCGAGGGTACAGGTTTGCTTCATGGTCGGTGTCAGACTGGTGTGAGTTGGGGTAACATGCGGGTTTCATAGACTCGGAAGTGGGGGAATCAAAATTCTCATAGGGGTGCCCCCGCCTACGCGGTCGGAGGAACCTTGGGGACAAAAGGAAACCTTCAATGGTGGGTAAACCCCGAAACCCTAAATGCTATGCTTGGGGTTCATCTGTGGTAGGTTCCCTAAATTGTGGCACCCAAGGGCAAAGAAAGGGTTTGGGATTCAGGCTTCATGTGGGTGACCCAATTCCAACAAGTTGCCGAACCCTCAACAAGCCAGGCGCTTGCCGCTTGCACAGCCCAGATTTTCGGCTTGCGCAGCGCCTCCCTGTTTGCGAAATCATAGGCATGGGCCCGACCCAACATGTGAGAGCTCCTCACAAGGATGTTCGGGTAGCGAAACCGCCATGCGCTATCTTGGAAAGCACAAGGCTCAACCGCCGCAACTGGCTGCCCCATTCATTGCGAGTCGGCGGGCCAGCTGCTGCAGCTTTGCGCAACGCTCCACGGCGATGGTCTTAAGATCTTGCCCAAAGTCTACCATCTCATCAGTATCGATGTACTTGGGCAGATTGTCGGCAAGGAGGTCGATGCCAATGTCTTGCTTCATCGTCTCGCAGCGTCGAAAGGGACGCGCTTGAACTGCCAGTGTATTTTCTTTCCTAGGATGGCCTTTACAGCCCTCTGAAAAAATGCTCCTGAATACAATCCTCTTAAACCCAAAATACGGGGAACAAATGTTCCAGGACCCTAGTTTCCCTGACCCCATCGCCAAGGCCGGCTTAACCGGCGCGCCTGGCCCGCCCCCTGGCTTCCACGTGGCATCTCTTTCTGCGAAAAGTGCAGGAAGCGGACTAAGTCATTCTCTTGCAAGATCTCCACATCCACGCCCACATCGACTTTGGGCAGAAGAAGCTTGGCAGCTTCAAGGATGCCGGGTTGGATCGCTGGGGCTGGGGGCATCTCTTGGGCAGCAGCTGCAGCGCAGCGGGCCTCATGTCTTCTTCGACTAAAGCCGAAACCTTGTGCTGAGTTCATAAGCCCCCCAAAAAGTGCACACTTTCAGCTCTATAGGGGATTATAGTATCCCAAAAAGTGTAAAGTGTACTCACTCAGCTACTCAGAAACCATCTACCCCGAACAGCCCAACTCGAAGGCCGCAGTGTTGGCACACGGCACGAGAACAAGGACGTGCCATGCTTTCCCACTTCGGGGCGGTCAGATCTTCTTGAACAAGAATGCTGCGCCTCTGTGCAAAACTGCTGCAAGCAGCTACCTGCCTTAGTCATGGCCTTGCTGTCCGCCCTGTGTCATTTAACATGTGCCCATACTATGGATCAGCCCCCATGTGAGCTATGGTCAACGCTCAGCACAACAGCTTCCTTACACAACTCGATGCCATTCCGCCTGACAACTTCCTTGTATACATGTCCTCCAGCTGCTCTTATTCAGAGTACGGACTAAGGCGTGAAGTCCATCTATTAGGGGTTTAGGGTTTAGTTCAGGGTTTAGGGTTTAGGGTTTAGGGTAAGGTCCCCCCAAACCTGGATGAACCATCTCTACTTTGCAATCGCGCGGCTCCGAGTACTCTCAGTGTGAGGAGAACTTCCATGACGATCCTGAAGCTGGCTGGGGGTTTAGGGTTTAGGGTTTAGGGTTGAGGGTTGAAGGTTTAAGGTTTCGGGGTTCGAGGTGTCTGGGTGTTGGCTCTAAGGCTCTAAGGCTTGTAGGGCGCGTCGGGCATCAAAGCACGGCCTATAAAACTACAGTCGTAGGAATGTAGGAGCCTGAATAATTAAAATAGGGTCTTGGGGGTTACTATGGCATAGCTATAGAGGGGCCATAAGGGAATATTACTAGTCAGTAATTATCCCGACCCCTAGTTTATGCTCAGACAGTACGGAGCTTTGCACTTCATTCTGGTCACGAGTTGTGCGTGTCAGAAATTCCATCCTCACAGTTTCAGTAAGAAATCGTACCCACCCTAAGCCCCACCTAAACCCTAAACCCTAAACCTAAACCCTAAACCCTAAACTCTAAACCCTAAACCCTAAACCCCACACCCGACAGTGACAGCCCAAACCCTAAACCCTACAGGTGTAGGGTTTGTCTGGCTTAGGGTTTAGGCTCAGGGTTTAGGTTTTAGGTTTAGGGTTTAGGGTTTAGGGTTTAGGGTGTCGGGTTTGGGGTGTCGGGTTTAGGGGGGGGGGGGGTTGTAGGTGTCTAGGGTCTTTGGGGTTTATAGCTTATAGGGTTTTGAAGGGGGGAAATCTTCAAGGTCTTTAGGTTTCATGGTCATGAGCACCAGAGCCCGAAAGCCCCCGAAAGCCCTGTACCCCCTAACAGCCAAACTCTGAATACCCCTAAACCCTAAACCCTAAACCCTAAACCCTAAACCCTAAACCCCAAAGCTCTGATCCCCAAGCTCTCACTACATATCAGGCCCAGTGGCGCCACGCCGATGCTCACCTCCAAGAACTCCTCCCAACCTTGTTTGAAGTTGGCTCGGGTTTAGGGTTTAGGGTTTAGGGTTTAGGGTTTAGGGTTTAGGGTTTAGGGTTTAGGGTTTAGGGTTTGGGGTTTCAGGTTTAGGGTTTAGGGTTCAGGGTCTAGGGTAGACCAGAGTGATCAACCCTGCAGGGGCCCTACATTGCAATGACACCCCCCCCCCCCCCCCCCCCCAAGCAGTTCCCTAAACCCCTAAACCCCTAAACCCCTAAACCCTAAACCCTAAACCCTAAACCCTTCACCCGAAGCCCTGTACCCCCGAACCATACATCCCTTCCTTTTCTTGGCTGCACTCAGGAGGGTAGCTATACATTAAACCTTCAGCTGCCTTATTCAGAAACCCAATAAACCCAAAAAGGGTAAGGATCTAAAGTTACGGTAAAGCCTTATTCAGAAACCCAATAAACCCAAAAAGGGTAAGGATCTAAAGTTACGGTAAAGTCCCACAAAGTTTTGGGGCCTTGGACGCGGATGTTCCAACAGTATCAGTGGCATGATGTGTGAGAACCCTACCCCCTAAACCCTAAACCCTAAACCCTAAACATGCAATCGTTCAGGGTTGTGGGTTTCGAGCTTGTGACCCCATACCCTGGACCCGATATCCTTAAACACTGAGCCCCTGTAAACCCTAAACCCTAAACCCGGAACCCTCTATCCTTAAACCCAAGGAAACCTCAATGAGGGAATGCTGGCACTGAGTTTCTGGCGGTGGTGCTTCCACTGCGGAAGGTTCCAGTTGTTTTGAACCTGGGGGGTTAGGGTTTAGGGCTTAGGGCTGAGCGTTGAGGGGATATTGAATAAACTGACATCCGAACAACACTGCTATTCCTTGCTTGGGCAACCTCATGCGGCATTGGCGGTATAGAGAAAATAGCAGAGCATTCTTTCATAGTGAGAACTCGGTCTTCATTTAGGAGGCAACTGTCTGAAAAACCCCAAAACCAAACCCTAAACCCTAAACCCTAAACCCTAAACCCTAAACCCTAAACCCTAAACCCTAAACCCTAAACCCTAAACCCTAAACCCTAAACCCTAAACCCTAAACCCGAAGAATCCTGAAGCGCAAAACCCTCCCAACACCCTAAACAAGCCCTAAAACCCTAAAGCACCAAGCCCTAAGCCCCGAGCCCTGAGAGACCTCAAAACCCTACATAGACCCTAAACACCTTCAAAGACCCACAAGAAACCTCAAACCCTCTGAGCCCCAAAGCCCTTACTAAGTCCCCCCCCAAACCCAACGAAACCCAAGAACCCTCGGAACTTAAAAGCCTTAAAAAAAAACAAAAACCTTCAAACCTTCAGAGCCCCTGAAGCCCTAAATAAACCTCTACAACACCCTAAAACAGGAGCCCTAAATCCCTGACCCTACACCCTGAACCCGGAACCCTAAACACGAAATCAACCCCACAGCCCTCAGAAAGCCCTCAGTCGCAGTGTGGGCTCCCAACACCTTTGACGATGTTCCAGACCTGAGGAAAACTTTCTGCAATTTTGGGGGACCCTAAACCCTAAACCTCTAACTGTGCAGAGAGGTTCGCTTAAAATCGGTCCCCTTAGACCTCAGAAACAAAAAAACAGCATCCACATTCAAAACCAACTCGCTGCGGCTTTCTACCCAGAACTCCCAGAACCCCTTGTTCGCGTGTTTCACGGAACTGTCCTTTGAAAATTGGGTTCAGGGAATAATAGGAAAGGGTTTGGCATTTGGGGGTGGAGGGGGTGGGGTTGAAGGGGTTAGAAATTCAAGGGAATTTAAGGTGGGATTTCGGATCTAGGGACATTTAGACTGACTGTTGCGGGCATCAGGTGGATCCAGCAGTTTAGCGTCGGACGGAAAAATTAGCAAACTTCTCACACCGGATTCGGGTGTGGCTGACCCCTTGAGCTTGTTCGCAATTGGCAACTCAACCCCTCTCACTTGCCGGCTCAGATATCACAGCATGCGAAAAACCAGGGAAGCCTGAAAAGGTAAGACCCTCTGCCCAAATCCTTCGATTAGCCCTACCATATAACCCTGAAACATATAAAACCCCATGGAACCCCAAAACCAAAAAAAATGAGGGCCGTCGGCTCAGGCACGGACCAGGAGGACTAAGACAATGGCGGCGCACACGGAGCTGTATATTAAGTACGACCTTGGAGTGCGGGACACGAATCGAGGCGAGCCGATGATGTGGGCCTGGGGACCTCATGAATCAGCTTTTGAGTGATTGAGGTTTAGGGGTTTGGCATCATGCGGTCGGCAGAACTACATGCTCCTACGATTACATATCCTATTGTGGACCATCGCCTCTGATCATATGGAGCTGGGTAATGTGTGAGCTCGAGATATCGATGGGATGCATCTCAGCCTGCAGCTTTGATGAGAAAGTACGCTGCTGCCAGCACTGGGCCAGGCCATTGTGTGAGCTACGGGGTGTAGCCTTTCTGGCGCGATGTGAAGGCAGAGCTTCACAGGGATGCGCCCCGACGCAAGGCACGCAGGATGGCTTGCTTAAACCGGAAAAGATACCGCAACTGTTGGGCAGACCGATTATTGTATCCAGGGATCATATTTGCTCTTGGCAGAGTTTACAAGGGATGATGCTCAGGGACTGCGAAAGCGCCCTAAACCCTAAGGCCAAAGCCTGCGACCCTAAACCCTAAACCAAAAACTCCAAAGCCTTGCTAAACCTTAAACCCTTAATCCTAAACCCCAAGCCGCAAGCCCTAAGCCCTATAAGCCCTTTTAACCCTATATATAAGCCCTATATATAAGCCCTATATAAGCCCTATATATAAGCCCTATAAGCGCTAAGCCCTAAACCCTCTGATGCAAGAAGCCCGCCCCCAAAGCTCTCACTCCGAACCCCGAAGACCGGTACAAGGTTTAGGGCTTAGGACGGTTTAGGGCTTCGGGGGATGCTTTGGGTTTAGGATGCTTAGGGTTTAGGATGTCTAGGGTTTAGGATGTTTAGGGTCTAGGACATAGGGTTTAGGATTTGGGGTTTAGGATGTTTGGGGTTTAGGATGCTTAGGGTTTAGGATGTTTAGGGTTTAGGATGCTTAGAGTTAAGGGCTCCGATGCCGAGCACAAGGCCGCTTCAGGCGCCAGGAGAGTATGGCGTGCCGGGCCTCTGGCAGTGGTATAGGGGTTTAGGGTGTAGGGTTTAGGGTTTAGGGTTTCGGGTTTAGGGTTTAGGGTTTAGGGTTTAGGGTTTAGGGACTCCATGATATTCCGTTTAGGTTTAGGGCCTATTTGTGGGGTTTTAGGGTTTAGGG